GGCGTTTCCAATTGGCGTCAGTTGGCACAGAGGAGAAACGACTGGCGTGCTTTGCTGAACTCGGCAAAAATCGCTTAGGCGGTTACAGCGCCAAAAAAGAAGAAGAAACTAACTGAATAAATAAGCTACTAAATAAGCTGTTAAACTGCATAAATAAAAATTCCTTTCCTATAAAAAAATGTGTTTCTCTTACATGTATTATTGGCAGCACTATTCAAATATTTCAATGAGAGTAACTGGATATTATTTCGTGCCGCTGCACTCACGTTTGAGAAAAAGTTGAGAATTCAACATTTCTCAATTTGAAAATAAAGGAAAATTTCATATTAAATATGTGCCTTTTAGTTTGAGAACCCTATCAACGGTTATTTGAGATGCATTTGAGAATTAACGTTTGAGATTTGAGAAAAGGACTGATTCTCAAATGCATCTCAAATTGAGATTCAACAAAAATGTTTTTGGGTATGTACATGTGTATGTATGCATGTATGTATGCGGCTGTGTATGCGTGCCAGTATAAATGTACTTTCATTTCCATTTAACACTTAGAAAAATTCTTTTATCTAAATTTCGAGCTTTTTAACCAGAATTTTTAGGGTATGCAGGTTATAAGCTTATAAAATCCTAGTAAAATGAGTGCAAGTTTTGAGCGACTATAAAANACACCCGGCAGAGACCTACAAGGGTGTTCCCTGTCCATTACTGCTAGAACCAAATGGTGCTTGGCCACTTCATTAAAAGCCAGAGGCGCCCATGAAGGGTTTGGCGGGCTGTTATGGTTGGAGTATGGCTGGAGGTTTTAGACCTCTTCGATGGTCCGTCGGCATCGTTTGCCGATAGCTGCCTTTGGGGAGCCAGTTCCCTTGAACTTGAGGGAGTGGGTTCAGGGTTTTTTAAGGCACCCTTCCCTGAGTCCATTCCCGGCTTTCAGAGAGAATGCCCCTTGCACTCTGAGCCACATCCTTCATATTCTCGGGAACCGGATTGTCCCCGAATTTCTTCAGCAGCCTGGAAGCGGCTCTTCTGACCCGCTTCGCTCGTACTACTGGGCGTACTCGCTTATTACTCCCTGAACCACCGAGACGAGGGTTTCGGTTCACCAACTGTGACCCAACAGGGGGCTTGTGGTTGGCACTCTTATTGCCCGTGGAGGGGCCCCGGGTGTCAGTAACGCCCCAACCGGAGCTGCTTAAGAGCTGCTCGCAAGGGGTGTGCTCATAGCTGCTCTTGATGAAGACGCCTGGCACGAGAGATCCATCAGCCATGTAGGCTCTGTTAGCGTCCCAGACACCAGTTGCTCGCTACCCTCCGTGCAGGGATCCGGGGCTTCATTATTATTGCTCATATTCATTCTGGTTCTTTGGTCGCCTACTGAGCCGAAACCGTTCGTATAAAAAAGGTAGGGGAAAGAACGGTCGGCCACAGCAACGCCCGTACTGCGGTTAGTCCACTATTAATCCCGGAGGCGGAGAGGTATCCGGGAGGCGCCGTTAAAATACAGTGGGACTGTCTGCAAACCATTCAATGGGAACAGTGAGCGTTTATACCTACCGCCAGGTACCCCCTAAAAAAAAGTCTCCTTTGGGCGAGCCCGTACGCCCCCACACTAGAAGAGGCAGGAGAGTTTATACCTTATTCATGAAATCGGCTTAAAAATCTTTTTTTTTTATTTTAAAAATGAGATCTTGTTATAATATAGTTTTTAAATCCAAAAACGAATATAACGCCTTCACGGTAATAATAAATAATACAAATCACCTCATGATAGTGATGTACAAACAATTTTCTTTAATAATATTCATACTTTTAAAAAATGTTTGTATTAACATATTTTCCTATAGGACTGCGCAATTATTAAATTTATTATAACTCATATCAATTGATTAATCGAACAATACGCTTTTAAGCGCTCGGCGCTAAAAATAAAATAAAAGCTGTAATAAAGGATCTCTTCTATGAGCGCTTGGAACGTACATATGAGCGCTACCCCCGACACGATGTCAAAATCGTGCTTGGCGATTTTAATGCCAAGGTGGGCAAGGAACGGATCTTTGGCGCCACTGTCGGAAAATTCAGCCTCCACGACGAAACGTCCGATAACGGACTGAGGCTGATCGACTTCGCCGGGGCCCGAAACATGGTAATATGTAGTACTAGGTTCCAGCATAAGAACATCCACCAAGCTAAATGGCTGTCTCCAGATCAAAAAACGAGAAACCAAATCGATCATGTTGTGATAGAGGAAGGCATGCTTCAAGCGTTTTAGACGTTCGTACACTCCGAGGGCCAAACATCGACTCGGACCACCATCTTGTTGTAGCCAAGATACGCACCCGCCTCTGTGCAGCAAAATATGTGCGCCCAACAATGCAAGGGAAGCTTAACGACGAAAAACTGCAATCACAACAGACGGTCAATTTATTCGCCACTCGACTCACACACCTGCTCTCTGAGAGCACTCTTCAACAATCCGACGTACGCGAGCAGTGGAACCACATTTCCCGATCATTAAGTACCGCCGCCGAAGAAGTAGTTGGATTTCAGCGAGCCCGAAAGAACAACTGGTACGATGAGGAATGTCAAGAAGCCGCAGAGAAAAAAAGATGCCGCCTACAGGGCCACGCTGCGATCGGGCGCAACGCGAGATGCTGGAACCGTTATAGGGAACTGAAGAAGGAAGC